CATAAAATTGTACTCAATCCACACTATGGGATTGAGGCCATCATTGGACCATAACATCCTAAATACATCACTGGATCAATATCCTGCAAAACGGCACTGGACTGAAGTCCTACAATATGTCATGAATACATGATGCACAACAACATAATAAACACGACCACGGCTAGTCAAAACGAATCATCATCCATGAATTCATCACAATATCATCAAATCATCATAATAAACCAGAGAACATCATAATATCATCATATCATTCTCATGACATCATAATAAACAAAGCATCATTGAAATTCATCACGGGGAAACCTAAATCTATCCTAACTTAGGTATTATCATTATAATCCAACACGGAAATCCTAAATTCATTCTAACTTAGGTATTTTGAATATCCTCTTTATTCCTAATTTCATTCCATCAAACTAAAGTTCATTGCATTAGCTATCCAATGCTTCAAACGACACCTCAATCTGAATTCTAAAACTCAAGTTATGGCACTTTTAATAAAATCCAACATAATAATTCAATTCTACTATCCATCGCCCGACGACACACCTCTGTCGCCTGGCGACGCACCCATCGCGTCTTGCATCTCTTGACGACGCTTGGAGCGACGCAATCCAATAACGTCTTTTTTCCACACTTCCATCGCGCCTTGGCTCGCCCGACGATGATCACGCGCTCACATCATCACCCCGACGACGCACACCAATTCACGGTTCTTCTTCTGCAATTATGCACTGATCATTCCCAAATTTGTGTGTGATTTCACACCAATTGAGACCCAAAGCTCATCTAAATCATCATGGTTTCACAATATCACAATAGCACATCATAGTAAACATCATATACATAATTTCTTATCATTATAACACCAATTTATAACCAATTGCAACACAATTTCATCACAATGCATCATATTCATCAAATCAACAAAACCCATACAACCTATAGTCATCTAGACCTTAGATTAATTATAATAACAATGATAAACACCCCCTTACCTCATATTATAGCAGTAAATCTAATTCCTCTTGGTGTTCTATCATAAAAATCCCCTTGCCTCTATATGCCTTAGCTTTTCCTTTGTCTCTTCCTCTAAAAACTATCGTACAGAATACACGTTTCTCATATTCCAATTGCCTTTTGTCTCACTTAACCCATGGACCCTTAATTGGTTTTTCCATTATTTCCCTCACTTATTCTTCTCAAATGGCCACCATGTCCTTATTTTCTCTACATCAATTATTCTATTTCTTTAATTAATAATAATTCTAAATAATTAAAATTAATTATCTAAAATTACTAAAATACTCTAGCATCTCTTAATTTACCACTACCCCATCACACACCATACAAATCTTCATATTAAGCACCACATTCATCTCAACATCATAATATACTTCATATTCATAGAAATATCACAAATCATCACAATGACTCACATAGAAACACCAAAATATCATATATATATCAAATACTTCACAATGACTTGTATATTCACGCTAAATTAATTAAATAAATAATTAATCTAAAACTCAGGGTGTTAAAACTCTCCCCCCCTTAAAATAATTTTCGCCCTTAAAAATCATCTGACAGAAACAACATTGGATAAGACTCTTTCATTTGATCCCCATCTTACCAAGTCCAACTCTCACCAGCTAGTCCACCCCACAATACCTTCACCAAGGTAATCTCTTTTTATCACAATTGCTTCACTTCCCGGTCTTCTATTTGCAATGGTAATGCTTCAACATTCCAGTTATCTCTCACATGTACATCATCCATTTGTATCACATGCGAAGGATCCGGAATATACTTTCTCAATTGAGACACATGAAACACGTCACGTAGGTTCGCGATTGACAGAGACAAAGTAACCTGATAAACCACTTCACCTATCTTCTCTGATATCTGATACATGCCAACAAAATGCGACGTAAGCTTTATTGACTTTAAAGCTCTACCAACACCAGTCACTGGAGTAACCCTTAAAAATACATGATCATATTTTTGAAATTCTATATCCTTCCTCCTCTTATCATGGTAACTCTTCTGACGACTCTGATAAGCTTTCATCTTCTCTTGGATCATCTTTATATTCACAGTTGTCTCTTGTACAACCTCAGGTCCGAGCACAACACTCTCGCCTGACTCATACCAATATAATGGAGTCATATACCTCCTACCATACAACGCTTTGTATGGTGTGATTCCAATACTAGAATGGAAACCATTATTGTATGTAAATTAAATTAGCGGCAAATGGTTGTTCCAAGCACCTCCTTGATCCAACACACAAGCCCTCAACAAATCCTCCAAAGAATGGATAGTCCTCTCTTGTACATGTGTTTCTGACTTTTCTTCAGCAAATCTCTCATTAGAGTCAGGACGAGACCTTTCCCAATTCCAAATTTTTGATTCTTTTACAATGACGTCTCTGATGAAGTCAACTTTGTTAGTTTATGGACAATAAAGTTTGTATGAACTTGTACTGTGGTATCCCACCAACAATATCCCTTTACTTCTATCAACCAACTTATGTCTTCTGGATTCTGGGACATGTTTGTAACATACATAACCAAACACCTTCAGATGACTAACACTTTGCTTATCTCCAGTCCACTTATGAATAGGAACTATTTCCTTTAATTTCTTAGTTGGACATCTGTTGAGAACATAACATGCAGCCGCCACAGCTTCTCCCCACAGAGTATGAGGAAGCTTCTTCTCTTTCAGCATGCTTCTCACCATATCAAGCAAAATACGGTTTCTTCTTTCAGCAAGACCATTGTGTTGAGGAGTATAGGGAGCAGTAACCTCATGCTCAATTCCAATCTCCTCACAAAAACTTCTGAATTTTGTGGAGTTATACTCACCACTACCATTATTTCTAAGAATCTTCAGAGTCTGGCCCCTCTAATTCTCAGCCTTCAGTCTGAACTTCTTGAATTCAGTAAACACCTCATGTTTGAACTTTATGAGAGATACCCATGTCATTCTTGTGAACTCATCAATAAATGACACAAAATATTTATTCCCTCCAGTTGATGCTACTGGAAAAGGACCGCACACATCAGAGTGTACTACTCTCAAGGCATGTTTTGCTCTTGGAGCTACTTCTGATGCAAATGGTAATCTTGGTTGCTTCCCTTCCATGCACACCTTGCATGACTTTTCAGGCTTCTTGATTGTAGGAGTTCCATGTACCAGATTCTTTGATTTCAGATATCCTAAACTTCTGAAATTCAGATGACCAAATCTTTTGTACCATAGCTCACTCTCCTTGACAACACTTGTTACACTAAGACATTCAGAGTCTGCAGTTCTAGCATTCACCTTAAATGTTTTGTTCCTTCCTTGTTCTGACTCCATAATCAGCTTCTAATTACAGTCATACAGCTTCAGAAGATTGGCCTTCATGGTAACTGGAAAACCTTTCTCAATCAGTTGTCCCACACTCATCAGATTGCTTTTCATGCCAGGTACATACCAAACATTCTGGATCACCGCTGCTTTCCCATTGTTTAGAATGATTCTGACATTTTGCATCCCTTCTGCATTGAGGTATTTTTCATCAGCATATCTGATCTTTGTACTCTTTCCAAAGTCAAAATCAACCAACCACTTCTTGTTTCCAGTAAGATGATTTGAACACCCTGTATCTATATACTACCGTTCTGATGAATTCAGATCATCAGTTTCAGAAGCCAACAATAGCACAGGTTCATCATCAGACTCTCCTCTTGCTATATTTGCTTCTTCTGACTTCCTTTCTTTGTTGGACCAGCAATCTCTGACATAGTGACCAAAGTTCTTGCAAAAGTAACACTGAACATTCTTCTTGTCAGACTTCTCCTTTCCCTTCTAGACATTCTTCTGCCTATTAGAGTTTGAAGCTTCTGACCTTTGACCACCATTAGTTTTCTTCCTGGCTTCTGACCAAGTCTGCTTCTGATGCTTCTTACCAGAAGTTACTTTCAGAGCCTGCTACTCTACTTCCCTCTCAAAAGTTCTTGCAGTCATACGCAACTCATGCGCCTCTAGACTACTTTACAGCTCTTCAACTCTCATGGTGCTCAGATCATTGGAATGTTCAATTGCTACCACAATGTAATCAAACTGAGAAGTTAAAGATCTCAAGTTCTTCTCAATGGTTGTTTGTTCAGAAAGGGTTTCTCCACAAGCTTTCATCTCATTAGTGATCAGAATCACTCTAGAGATGTACTCAGAAACCTTCTCGTTGTCTTTCATGTTGAGATTCTCATATTACTTTTTGAGAGACTGAAGCTTCACTGATGCGTCACCATCGTAACATCTGACCAGTGTGTCCCACGCAGCCTTTGCTATTTCAGAATCAGCAATCTTCTCAAACATATTTGCATCCACACAATGATGGATGTAGAACAACGCCTTGTAATCTTTCATCCTTAGCGCCCTATGTGCTATCTTATGTGCCTCAGTTGTGTCTGCTTCTAACAGATCATAGTCATCGGTGTCAAGATCTAACACATCTTGAGAACCAAATAACACGCGCATCTGGATTTTTCAACGATTCCAGTTTTTTCCATCAAATACTGGAAGATTGGAATGGATATCACCACCGTTCCCGTTCATCTTCTACCTTTGAGCAATTTACGCAGAGTTTCCCAAATCAATGTTTCTCAAAACCCCAGAATCAGAATATTGTAATTCTTAATCACAATACTTCTTTTCTCTGTTGATTTCAAACCGGAGCTCTAGATACCAATTGTTGGTACACAAAGAAGAGATGAAAGACAAAAAAAAAAATTTTAATGATAGCTTCAAAATAAGGATTTATAATGAATTACAATAACCAACTTCACTAGACTATTTATACACAAAATTAAATCTAAAATATATCTTCTAACAAAAATATAAGAAGATCTAAGATATATGTCTTCTAACAAAGATATAAACGATCTAAAAAATATTCCTAAATATAAATTAATATCTAATTAATTATAAAATCTAAATTAATTCTAACAATAATAAGAATGAGAGTTATGCGCTACCAACTGTCCTTTGTCATCAAACTTCACCGATCCATCTTCATCATTTGTTCCAATTATATCACCGTAATTTGTAAAGCATATTGTGGCAAAGTATGGAGCAGGGTGCATAGAAAGAACAAGAGTCTTAGTCCAAGATGAGTGTGCTGCTTGCATCACCCATATCTCAATTGTATCGCTACGCACATCCATATTCCATGAACTGATAAGTCCTTCAAGTGCCAAAGAAGTATGATTAACAACATAATAATCCGGCAGAGCTGTCTCTGACATTCTCATTTTCTTTACATCAAAGGCAAAAATAACATCGCTTTTGGTCTCATAATTATAAACCAACCAATGAATAACCTCAGCAAGATTTTCCTTATCAGTTCCTGAGGCAGTTGAACGATCTTCTCCGACATCTTGCACAAAAAAAAAATGCATTCAGTGGAATCAATGATTGGTAGAATATGCTAAAGATAAACCCTAGTTAGGATTTGATTTAATTTCTCGCTCTTGCCATTAAACAGGGAAGGCTTAGCATGTGAGGCTGACTGGATAGCACGTGCTACAACTCTAGGTAATGATTATCAGATGCGACATCTGAAATGAAAGCAAATAATAACATTTTTATCTTCTTTAAGAAAACTCTATAATGATTGGTTTTTCTTTTACGAATCTAAACACACAATTGTTTTAAAATAGTTAAAAAATCTCTGATGTTTATGCACAATGAATATTGATCTAGTGGCTTTCAAGAAAAACAAAACCTAAAATACTACAACTTGAAATTTTCTTGATAAAATCTTAGCTAAATAAAAAAGCTTAAGAATCATCATTATGTTAATATTTAGAAGGTAGAGTAAGATGCATGCTTGAATATCAAACCAAATGTTCTAAAAAGGAAACCAAGCTGAATATTCATATCCTATAAAATACTAACTAAATCAGTGGGCATTATCAAACGTTGAAACCAGTGGATGTGAGAATTTTTTTTTGATCAGCAACTTGTATTCAAATAAGAGTACTAGGGTACTTCAACCCGATTATAAAAAAGACCCAACTAAACAAGTAAAACTAGAACAATTTAAGATAATTTATGAGACTTTTACACCATTCATAGAAATTACAATGAAGCTTTCCTTTTGATCCAATAGCTAGTCGCCACCAATAATACCTTGAAATAGAATATCATTTCTACTTTTCCAGATGCACCAACCTATTGTCAACCAAATCATTCATACTCTTCTTCTACAAACCTGTTTCTTCAGCAAATCTACCATGTTCAAGAACTGGCTGCAACAATCATCCACCATGACAGCATCTATCCCTAACCACTCATGCACCTTAACCCACACTATCTTCATCATTGAACAATTATAAATTAAATGCTCAATGTCTTCTTGCTGTCTAAAACAAAATACACAAACTTTATGATGCTCATTTTGAAGTATTCCTCTCTTGACAAGTTGCATCCTAGTAGGTAATCTATCATGGAAAAGTCTCCATCCGAAAATTTTCACTTTAGATGGAACATTTGTTTCCCACATCACTGTTAAAGCATGCTTCAAAGAAATGTTGGCTAGTTCAGCTTTCTGCCCCTGTACCAGTTTCAAATAACATGATTTTACAGAAAACATTTTGTCCTTGCTATAAGGCCACACCACCACATCCTGTTGATTATCATCAAGAGATATCCCTGCCAGAATATCATCTAACTCCTGGTATTCTAACATATATGCCTCATCAAAGAAATCTTTAATAGAAAAACAGTTGTGTAGATGTCAATCCCACTTTTGATCATACCAAGCTCCCATGTCCTTTACATTGATCCCTTTATTACTACAGACATTGAAAATGATAGGAAATTATGATGCTAAAGTGTTATCCTTTATCCATCTAGCCAACCAAAAAGAACATCCCTTCCTTCCCCCAGTCTGACTATCACCATCTTCATGAAACCATCAGCTACCTCAAGACCACCACATGACAAAACATCTCTCCACCTTTCTTTCTCCCTTCACTGAACCACAATTTTCTATTCAACATGTCATACTTTCCAGTAATATTCCCACCCAAATAGTATTATCTTCCTTAATGAATCTCCAAAGCCACTTATTTAGCAATGCCTTGTTAAAAGACTATACATCCTTTATGCCTAATCCATCTTCTCCCTCAGCCACAGAAATTTCCTTTGCAGACTAATTATCTTATGTGTCACTTTAACTGGGATTTTGAAAAAAGAGAGTTGATATACTGGTATGCAAGTTAGCACAAAATTAATTAAGGTGATTGTTCTGGACTGGGCCCGACATGCCCAATAGCATTGATAAGGCCCAATCCAAACAGACTTGCTGAGGGCCACGCCGACCAAAGGGTCACAGTCGTGCCCGACGTGCTCCCTGAGGTTACTTGCTCGACATCCAACTGTACAGCTCGACAACCTGCTGTCCAGCTCGACATCACCTCGAGCACCCGACTAGGGCAGACTCAGTCCACTGCACTCCCAACGAGACCCCGAAAAGACCGCGTCTCTGTCCGCCCGCACTTCATGCAGAACATCCAGGGAGGGGACCACGTGTGGGTCCCCACTACGCACGTAGAACCTGGCAGTTCCTCCATTGGGCCAAACCTGCCCGGCCCAATGAAGGAACCTTGGCCCAGCACTGGGGGCTATAAATACCCTCTGTTTCCAGAGGGTCAGGTATTCATCATTCTACCCATACTTACTATTGCCTGCTCGTGCTCTTACTTACTTCAGCATCGGAGTGTCTTGCAGGTACCCTCCCCCCCACCTTGTTCAAAACTTTCAGCTTGGAGCCAGCCGTGACGGTCCAAGTCTGATCAGGTTAGATCAGTGGCACCGTCTGTGGGAAACTAGCTTCCTCGTCTTACAAACAACTCAAAAGACCAAAGCTCATATTCAACTACCTGTCATGGCTGATCCAGCTCGCGATGAGCAGAACGTCCGTGTCGCCGACACTAATAACGGCACGACGGACAAGAACGGACATCTCGACAACGCCGGCAATCCCGGCCACAACACCATTCCTGCAACAACCGTCCCCGGAACTTCCTCATTCAGGGACGGGGCTACTGCATCATCCTCCTCGCTCCCACCACCACTCGAGGACGACCCGGCAGCCCTCGCCCACTACAGAGCCGCCCGGTTTCAGGAAGTCCCCGTCCCCTCCGGGGAAGATGCCACCACACAAGCGTTGTTCGCAGCAATCAATCAAACGAACTATCTCATCTTCGCCCAAGGAGAGAGATTAAAGGCGCTTGAAGACGAGCGAAGACCCTCGAGGAGGCATCGGAGACCACATACTCCCCCTCCTCGAGTGACTGAAGCCCGACACCCTTCTCCCCCGCGGAGACACTACAGGGAGACCTCTCGAAGCCCATCTCCCCGGCCAAAGCAGAGGCGACCCTATTTGGAGAGAGAGCCCGTCATCCCTGCCGGAGAACCCAGTCGCGACCCGGTAAGGCACGACAAGAGACACGTCGGAGACGGGCGTGTAACATTCAACCAACGAGCATCACGCTCGAGGGAGACTCAGCACGACCACCGTGCCAGACAATACTACAGGTCCCCATCTCTGTCTCCGGAGAGGAGCGACGAGGACGACCCCCGCGGTCCCCTGTCGCAGGCCATCATGGATGCACCCATCCCCCCGGGCATGGAGAAGCCCCCACATCTGAAGGAGTACGATGGAGTCGCGGACCCGGTCGACCACATTGACGGGTTCGAGGCTATGCTCCATTATTATAATGTCGGGGGGCCCATCAAGTGTCGTCTTTTCCCCACGACTCTCAGGAAGGCGGCCATGGACTGGTACAAAGGGCTCGCCCCAGGCTCAATCACCTCGTGGTGGAACCTGAAGAACTAGTTCATCAGTTCCTTCACCGCTTCTCGACGCCATCCAAAGACCGAGGCGGCGCTCGAGGCCATCATCCAAAGACAGGATGAGACCTTGAGGGAGTTCATCAACCGCTTCAACCGAGAAGCGATACAGGTCCCCTGCATGGACCACATGAAGAGATATCTGCTGGAGAGGGGGCTCCTCCCCGGCATAGAGTTCAGAAAAGCCGTGGGAATCGAGCCGCCCAGGTCTTTCGACGCTCTCCTCGAAAAAGTTCGGGCATACATGGATTACGAGGAGAGGGAAGCGGCCAACAGGGCCCGGGATTCCAGGACTCGGGGTCCCAACAACAGCAGCTCGCGCCAAGAGGCTCCTCCTCGACGAACCGGGGAGAAAAGGAAAGAAGACAGGCCCCGGGAAGTCCGGGAACAAAGGGGCCCCTCGGGCCGTTTCACCGAGTACACTCCACTCACAGCTTTCCGCGAGTGTATCCTGGCGGAGTGTGCCAGTACAGACTTCAAGGACGGCGGCATCAAGCGTCCCCGACCTGCTCCCGCCAAGCCTGGGGCGGACACAAATAAATATTATCAATAGCATAGAAGTCATGGCCATCTGACAGAGGACTGCGTCCACCTCAAGGATGCCATTGAAACCCTCATCAAGGGAAGGAGGCTCGCGCAGTACCGGCGAAACGACGCTCCTCGTCGTGACGCCCATGAAGCCAAGGAGCCAGAAGAAGAAGCCCGACCATCAGACGAGTCGGTGTCTATCCAGACCGCCTTCTCGGTGACCAGGCCCGAGGACTTCGACATTCTCGAGCACCTGCAGGAACCGCTGACAACGCACAGCAGGTGGGAATACTTTCCCTCCACCATGGTCATTAATGGGGGTGGGTTCAATAACCTCACCATCAATTCAGCTAAGAGGAAGTTGGACGAGCTGGTCGACGCGGCTCCCCCGCAAATAGTAACGTTCGAAAGGGTGAAGGGCAGGTCGGAGCCCATCACCTTCTACCTAGAAGAGCTCCCCGGTGGAGCCCCGAACGCGGTCATCCCCTTACTGATAAGGGAAAGAATGGCCAATTTTGACGTGCATCGCATCCTGGTCAACGAAGGGAGTTCCGTCGACGTGATGTACAGCCAACTGTTCTGAACCCTACAGCTGGACGACTCACATCTCTCTCCATATGTGGGGTCGGATCTACAAGGCTTCAACGGCTCGACTTCCAAACCTTGGGGTTATGTCGAGCTCTTGGTTACGTTCGGCGAAGGAACGACTACGAGACAAGTTAAAGTCCGTTTCCTCGTCATTGACTTCCCGTCTCTGTACAATTGCATCTTGGGGAGACCGACACTGGAAGAACTAACAGCGGTGCCCTCGACCGTCCACCTGAAGATGAAGTTCTACACCAGGAGGGCACGGGTAGCCACCATCCAAGGAGACCTAGCCGCTTCCCGCAGGTGCTTCAACGCCGCTTCTAAGGGACGGGATACCGTCGACATAGGGACCAGACCCGCCAAAAGGACAAAACAGGAGCCCGACAGGAAAGCATACCCCGAGGAAGAAGTCCAGAAAGCTCCACCAAAGGTCGATTCCATAGCTCTGGACACCCGCTTCGATCAGGACGAGCCATCCAGCAGCGAGCAAATCCCACTCCGACCAATACCGGACGGGGATTTTGAACTCGTTCCCCTCGGCACAGACCCGACCAAGGGAGTGAAGATTGGCAAAGACCTCCCCGACTTGGCCAGGAAGCAAATCAAGGCCTGTCTGCGCGAGAATGCTGATCTGTTCGCCTGGAGCGCTGCGGAGATGCCCGGACTCGACCCTGAGGTCGCCTGTCACCACCTCGCCATTGATCCAGCCGCTAGGGCCGTAGTACAACGTAGGCGTAGGCAGTCTCCAGAAAAAACGGAGGCTGCTGAAAAAGCTGTAAAAGACCTCCTAGAGGCAAATTTTATTTCTGAAGCCCGGTATTCCACCTGGCTGTCAAATGTTGTACTCGTGAAAAAGAATAATGGAAAATGGAGAATGTGCGTTGATTATACCGATCTCAATCGGGCTTGCCCGAAAGATGCTTTTCCCTTGCCTAACATAGATATGCTGGTCGACAACTCGGCCGGCTACAAAACTTTGTCGTTCATGGACGCCTACTCGGGCTATAACCAAATCCCAATGGCCCTGGGCGACAAACACTGCACGGCATTCATGACCAGCTCGGGCAACTATTACTACAACGTAATGCCCTTCGGACTGAAAAATGCCGGAGCAACTTACCAGCGCATGATGAACAGAGTTTTCAACAAACAGATCGGCGACATGCTCGAGGTATATATGGACGACATGATCGTCAAGTCCCGAGCAGACACTGACCACACAGCTCATCTCAAGACAGTCTTTGCCCAAGCAAGACAGTGTAAAATGAGGTTCAACCCCGAGAAATGTACGTTCGGGGTTAAGGCAGGAAAATTCCTTGGATTATATCTGACAAAACGGGGAATCAAAGACAACCCCGACAAATGTCGGGCGTTCTCCGACCTCCCAACACCGACGTCGAAGAAGTCGATACAAATCATGAACGGCATGCTCACGTCGTTGTCCCGCTTCGTCGCGAAATCCGCTCAGCACGCCCTCCCATTCTTCAAACTCCTTCGAAAGGAAGCAGCCTTCGAATGGAATGAGGAATGCGAGCAGGCACTACGCCACCTAAAGCAAAGTCTGTCTCAGTCGCCCGTGCTATCTCGACCAGACGACGGGGAACCGTTGTACTTGTACTTGGCCGTTTCGAACGAAGCCATCAGCGCAGCTCTTGTCCGCGATACCCCCAATGGGCAGAAACCCGTCTACTTCACGAGCAAGGCCTTACAGGGGCC